TTTCTTATCATAAATAAAATTGTAACAAACATGGTACAATATCACTGAAATATTTATATATACAATGCATTTCAGACAATTTGTTGATAATAATGAAAAGAGTAAGTAAAATATATTTGGTATTTTAAAAGCATGTATTTTGGTTTAAGATCATATTTCTGCCGTAAGAAAAGGAATTTGAAGACAAAAGTAGATTTGTCTGCGTGTGCCAGGGGATTTTTTTTTAAATGAAACTTTGGTGATAAAAAGGAAATAAAGAAAAATAATTATAACTTTTAAAGAACTCCCTGTGACACAAGGGGGTGTTATTTTTTGAATTTGGGAAAACTGCATGTTAGTGATATAAATTGAATGAAAAGCTGTATACAAAAGTTTGCTTCAGTCAACATGAAGACTGAAGTTAGATTGTTTGGTATACATTCAAATTTCTTTTGACCTGACAGTAGATATAAAACACGAAAATTTAATTTCAATCAAGCATTTTTTTTTTAATAAAGTTGTCAATCATGGTTTGGTGTTTGTAGCTTTCACCAATAATTCTTGAGATGGTTTTTTCCCATGTTTTGTTAATGTACCAGTGATATCCTTAACTTACGCAGAAACTGTTACGGAATTCTATCAAACTGTTATGATGGTTATTACTCTATGAAATTGATGTTTGTGTTTGAGATGAAACTCAAATGCAGAAAAGATTAAAAAAAATGATATCATCAGTCATCTTGAGTTTGGTATGAATTAAAATAAAATTTATTACAGACAATGAGATCAGCCTTGTTTTGTATGTGGTAGGCCTCTAGCTGTACTATCAGCCTTGTTTTGTATGGTGTCGTCCTCTAGCTGTACCACCAGCCTTGTTTTGTATGTGGGTGGCCTCTAGCTGTACCATCAGCCTTGTTTTTTTGTGGGGGGCCTCTAGCTGTACCATCAGCCTTGTTTTGTATGTTGGTGGCCTCTAGCTGTACCATCAGCCTTGTTTTTTTGTGGGGGGCCTCTAGCTGTACCATCAGCCTTGTTTTTTTGTGGGGGGCCTCTAGCTGTACCATCAGCCTTGTTGTGTATGTGGGTGGCCTCTAGCTTTACCATCGGCCTTGTTTTGTATGTGGCTGGCCTCTAGCTGTACCATTAGGCTTGCTTTGTATGTGGGTGGCCTCTAGCTGTACCATTAGGTTTGCTTTGTATGTGGGTGGCCTCTAGCTGTACCATTAGGCTTGCTTTGTATGTGGGTGACCTCTAGCTGTACTATCAGCCTTGTTGTGTATGTGGCTGGCCTCTAGCTGTACCATTAGGCTTGCTTTGTATGTGGGTGGCCTCTAGCTGTTCCATCAGCCTTGTTTTGTATGTTGATGGCCTCTAGCTGTACCATCAGCCTTGTTTCGTATGTGGGTGGCCTCTAGCTGTACCATCAGCCTTGTTTTGTATGTAGATTGCCTCTAGCTGTACTATCAGCCTTGTTTTGTATGGGGTCGTCCTCTAGCTGTACCACCAGCCTTGTTTTGTATTTGGGTGGCCTCTAGCTGTACCATCAGCCTTGTTGTGTATGTGGGTGGCCTCTAGCTGTACCATTAGGCTTGTTTTGTATGTTGGTGGCCTCTAGCTGTACCATTAGGCTTGTTTTGTATGTTGATGGCCTCTAGCTGTACCATCAGCCTTGTTTCGTATGTGGGTGGCCTCTAGCTGTACCATCAGCCTTGTTTTTTTGTGGGGGGGCTCTAGCTGTACCATCAGCCTTGTTTTGTATGTTGATGGCCTCTAGCTGTACCATCGGCCTTGTTTTGTATGTGGGGGGCCTCTAGCTGTACCATCAGCCTTGTTGTGTATGTGGGTTGCCTCTAGCTGTACCATCAGCCTTGTTTTGTATGTAGATGGCCTCTAGCTGTACTATCAGCCTTGTTTTGTATGGTGTCGTCCTCTAGCTGTACCATCAGCCTTGTTTTGTATGTAGGTGGCCTCTAGCTGTACTATCAGCCTTGTTTTGTATGGTGTCGGCCTCTAGCTGTACCATCAGCCTTGTTTTGTGTGTGGGTGACTTCTAGCTGTACCATCAGCCTTGTTTTGTATGTGGGTGGCCTCTAGCTGTAATATCAGCCTTGTTTTGTATGGTGTCGTCCTCTAGCTGTGCCACCAGCCTTGTTTTGTATGTGGGTGGCCTCTAGCTGTACCATCAGCCTTGTTTTTTTGTGGGTGGCCTCTAGCTGTACCATCAGCCTTGTTTTGTATGTAGATGGCCTCTAGCTGTACTATCAGCCTTGTTTTGTATGTGGGTGGCCTCTAGCTGTACCATCAGCCTTGTTGTGTATGTGGGTTGCCTCTAGCTGTACCATCAGCCTTGTTTTGTATGTGGGTGGCCTCTAGATGTACTATCAGCCTTGTTGTGTATGTGGGTGGCCTCTAGCTGTACCATCAGCCTTTTTTTTTTTGTGGGTGACCTCTAGTTTTACCATCGGCCTTGTTTTTTTGTGGGTGGCCTGTAGCTGTACCATCAGCCTTGTTTTGTATGTGGGTGGCCTCTAGCTGTACCATCAGCCTTGTTTTGTGTGTGGGTGACCTCTAGCTGTACCATCAGCCTTGTTTTGTATGTGGGTGGCCTCTAGCTTTACCATCGGCCTTGTTTTGTATGTGGGTGACCTCTAGCTGTACCATCAGCCTTGTTTTGTATGTTGATGGCCTCTAGCTGTATCATCAGCCTTGTTTTGTATGTGGGTGGCCTCTTGCTGTACCACCAGCCTTGTTTTGTATGTGGGTGACTTCTAGCTGTACCATTAGCCTTGTTGTGTATGTGGGTGGCCTCTAGCTGTACTATCAGCCTTGTTGTGTATGTGGGTGGCCTCTAGCTTTACCATCGGCCTTGTTTTGTATGTGGCTGGCCTCTAGCTGTTCCATCAGCCTTGTTTTGTATGTGGGTGGTCTCTAGCTATACCATCAGCCTTGTTTTGTATGTGGCTGGCCTCTAGCTGTACCATCAGCCTTGTTTTGTATGTTGGTGGCCTCTAACTGTTCCATCAGCCTTGTTTTGTATGTTGGTGGCCTCTAACTGTTCCATCAGTCTTGTTTTGTATGTTGGTGGCCTCTAGCTGTTCCATCAGCCTTGTTTTGTAGTGGGTGGCCTCTAGCTGTTCCTTCAGCCTTGTTTTGTATGTGGGTGGCCTCTAGCTTTACCATCGGCCTTGTTTTGTATGTGGCTGGCCTCTAGCTGTACCATCAGCCTTGTTTTGGATGTTGGTGGCCTCTAGCTGTTCCATCAGCCTTGTTTTGTAGTGGGTGGCCTCTAGCTGTTCCATCAGCCTTGTTTTGTATGGGGGTGGTCTCTAGCTATACCATCAGCCTTGTTTTGTATGTTGGTGGCCTCTAACTGTTCCATCAGCCTTGTTTTGTATGTTGGTGGCCTCCAGCTGTACCATCAGCCTTGTTTTGTATGTGGGTGGCCTCTAGCTGTACCATCAGCCTTCTTTTGTATGTGGGTGACCTCTAGCTATACCATTAGCCTTGTTTTGTATGTTGATGGCCTCTAGCTGTATCATCAGCCTTGTTTTGTATGTTGGTGGCCTCTAGCTGTACAATCAGCCTTGTTTTGTATGTGGGTGGTCTATAGCTATACCATCAGCCTTGTTTTGTATGTGGTCGACCTCTAGCTTTACCATCAGCCTTGTTTTGTATGTTGGTGGCCTCCAGCTGTACAATCAATTTTACTTTAATGTACACGTATTTTACTTTAATGTACACGTATTTTACTTTAATGTTCACGTATTTTACTTGTTGCAATCGATACATATTGTCACATTTTCACCAACATATGATTTTGATCAGAATCCAACGTCAGAGATTTTCTTTGAATTGTAATGGCGACCTAAACCTTGTTAGTCTGAAAAGAACGTATTCCTTGTATTCTCATGCATGACCAATACATGGAGTTTGATCAGAATCCATTTAGGAACGAAAGTCAACAGAGCAATGATAAAAAACAACATATATATATAATGAATAGTAGCAGTGACATTGACCTTGACTTCGGCACCTTGAAACCAGGACTCGTTCGTGGTACTTTTATGCATGACCAATGTGTGAAATTCGATGAAAACTGGCTGGAATGAAGCCGCTAATCAGAGGAGATAACGAAGCTTATTCTATTTCCTTGTGTGACTTTATGGTAAATATGTTTGATAATGCTCATAAGTCGGTCTGTTTCATTGTCACAATCATGGTTATTACTTTGAGGGTGTGTGTAACGACACGGTTTTTCACCCCGACACGATTTCTCACGTGGTCAAATTACTTCGTTCGCAACACGATTTCTGGCCCCTGCACGATTCTCGCCGGGATGAGAAATCGTGCAAAACATGGACATACGTGACACGTTTTCTCATCCGACACGATTTCTCGCCCCAACTCTCTTTCTCAATTAGGGTATGGTCTGATTGATTCCATCCGTGGAGTGTTAACACTTGCCTAGGTGTACATGTAATAGATGTGCTGAAATTATATCAAATGAGTTGTAGTCCAATGTACAACATGCCTAATATCTATTGATTGTTCACTTTTGTTCTCTCCTACACACCCGGAATGCATACGCGTGCAGCTCACTGCAGGCGCACATAAACGCGCACATACATGTAAAATGCACATGCACGCACCTTTTAAAACATTCAAACGCAATACTCTTCACCCTAATTGTGAGAGAATTAACATATCGGCTACCACTTCTTTTAATGGCAGTACCTGTATTTATCTATTTATTTATCACTTATTTATTTTTGAATCCGAAGAACTGATTTTGTTTCAATTGCACTAAATATATTCCAAACACATTGACGTTTTCAAACGACATTTGCGCATGATAAACCGTATGTAAAATAATATGTAAGTTCTATCTTACACAAGACACAGTCGACAACAATTAATTTATTCCATTGGGCAAAGTTACTTCAGGAAAAAAAGGACACGAACTAATTACATCACATAAACTTTTTTTTATTAAGAAGTATAACAATATCTAGCTATAACAGGGACCGCTACATGACACGGACCAACCAATCGGGACTCCACCTAACACGGACCAACCAATCGGGACTCGACCTTACACGGACCAACCAATCGAGACTCGACCTAGAACAGACCAACCAATCGGGACTCGACCTAACACTGACCCACCAATCGGGACTCCACCTACAATTTGTAACACGGACCAACCAATCGGGACTCGACCTTACACGGACCAACCAATCGGGACTCGACCTAACACGGACCAACCAATCGGGACTCGACCTTACACAGACCAACCAATCGGGACTCCACCTAACACGGACCAACCAATCGCCACTCCATCTTACACGGACCAACCCATTGGGACTCCACCTAACACGGACCAACCAATCGGCACTCCAACTTACACGGACCAACCCATTGGGACTCCACCTAACACGGACCAACCAATCGGGACTCCATCTTCCACGGACCAACCAATCGGGACTCCACCTAACACGGACCAAACAATCGGGACTCCACCTAACACGGACCAACCAATTGGGGCTCCACCTTACACGGACCAACCAATCGGGACTCGACCTTACACAGACCAACCAATCGGGACTCCACCTAACACGGACCAACCAATCGGGACTCGGCCTTACACGGACCAACCAATCGAGACTCGACCTAGACCAGACCAACCAATCGGGACTCGACCTAACACTGCCCCACCAATCGGGACTCCCCCTACAATTTGTAACACGGACCAACCAATCGGGACTCGACCTTACACAGACCAACCAATCGGGACTCCACCTAACACGGACCAACCAATCGGCCCTCCATCTTACACGGACCAACCCATTGGGACTCCACCTAACACGGACCAACCAATCGGCACTCCATCTTACACGGACCAACCCATTGGGACTCCACCTAACACGGACCAACCAATCGGCACTCCATCTTACACGGACCAACCAATCGGGACTCCACCTAACACGGACCAAACAATCGGGACTCGACCTAACAAGGACCAACCAATCGGGACTCGACCTAACACGGACAAACCAATCGGGGGTTCCACCAAACACGGACCAAACAATCGGGACTCCACCTAACACGGACCAACCAATCGTGACTCGATCTAACACGGACCAACCAGTCGGGACCCGACCTAACATGGACCAACCAATCGGGATTAGACCTAACACGGACCAACCAATCGGGACTCCACCTAACACGGACAAACCAATCGGGACTCCACCTAACACGGACAAACCAATCGGGACTCGACCTAACACGGACAAACCAATCGGGACTCCACCTAACACGGACCAACCAATCGGCACTCCATCTTACACGGACCAACCAAGCGGGACTCCACCTTACACGGACCAACCAATCGGCACTCCATCTTCCGCGGACCAAACAATCGGGACTCGACCTAACACGGACAAACCAATCGGGACTCGACCAAACATGGACCAAACAATCGGGACTCCACCTTACACGGAACAACCAATCGGGACTCGACCCAACACGGACCAACCGATCGGGACCCGACCTAACATGGACCAACCAATCTGGACTCGACCTAACAAAGACCAACCAATCGGGACTCGATCTAACACAGCCCAATCAATCAGGACTCGAACTAACACGAACCAACCAATCGGGACTCGACCAAACACGGACCAACCAATCGGGACTCGACCTAACACGGACCAACCAATCGGGACTCGACCTAACACGGACCAGCCAAACGGGACTCGAACTAACACGGACTAACCAATCGGGACTCGACCTAACACGGACCGAACAATCGGGACTCGACCTCACACGGACCAACCAATTGGGACTCGACCTAACACGGACCAACCAATTGGGTCTCGACCTTACACGGACCAACCAATCGGGACTCGACCCAACATGGACCAAACAATCGGGACCCGACCTAACATGGACCAACCAATCTGGACTCGACCTAACAAGGACCAACCAATCGGGACTCGATCTAACACAGCCCAATCAATCGGGACTCGAACTAACACGAACCAACCAATCGGGACTCGACCTACAATTTGTAACAAGGACCAACCAATCGGGACTCGACCCAACATGGACCAAACAATCGGGCCCCGACCTAACATGGCCCAACCAATCTGGACTCGACCTAACACAGACCAACCAATCGGGACTCCACCAAACACGGCCCAAACAATCGGGACTCGACCTAACAGGGACCACCTAACACGGACCAAACAATTGGGGCTCCACCCAACACGGACCAACCAATCGGGACTCCACCTAGGACCAAACAATCGGGACTCGACCTAACATGGCCGACCTAACATGGACCAACCAACCAATCTGGACTCGACCTAACAAGGACCACCCAATCGGGACTCGATCTAACACAGCCCAATAAATCGGGACTCGAACTAACACGAACCAACCAAGCGGGACTCGACCTACAATTTGTAACAAGGACCAACCAATCGGGACTCGACCAAACATGGACCAAACAATCGGGACCCCACCTAACATGGACCAACCAATCTGGACTCCACCTAACACGGACCAAACAACCGGGACTCGACCTAACACGGACCGAACAATCGGGACTCGACCTAACACGGAACAACCAACCGATCGGGACCCGACCTAACATGGACCAACCACTCTGGACTCGACCTAACAAAGACCAACCACTCGGGACTCGATCTAACACAGCCCAATAAATCGGGACTCGAACTAACACGAACCAACCAATCGGGACTCGACCTAACACGGAACAACCAACCGATCGGGACCCGACCTAACATGGACCAACCACTCTGGACTCGACCTAACAAAGACCAACCAATCGGGACTCGATCTAACACGGCCCAACCAATTGGGACTCCACCTATCACGGACCAACCAATCGGGACTCGAACTAACACGAACCAACCAAGCGGGACTCCACCTAACACGGACCAACCGATCGGGAATCGACCTTACACGGAACAACCAATCGGGACTCCACCTAAAACGGACCAAACAATCGGGACTCGAACTAACACGAACCAACCAATCGGGACTCGATCTAACACAGCCCAATAAATCGGGACTCGAACTAACACGAACCAACCAAGCGGGACTCGACCTACAATTTGTAACAAGGACCAACCAATCGGGACTCGACCCAACATGGCCCAAACAATCGGGACCCGACCTAACATGGCCCAACCAATCTGGACTCGACCTAACAAAGACCAACCACTCGGGACTCGATCTAACACAGCCCAATAAATCGGGACTCGAACTAACACGAACCAACCAATCGGGACTCGATTTAACACGGACCAACCAATCGGGACTCGACCAAACACGGACCAACCAATCGGGGCTCCACCTAACACGGACCATCCAAGCGGGACTCCATCTTACACGGACCAACCAATCGGGACTATGGATCAACCAATCCGGATTAGACCTAACACGGACCAACCAATCTGGACTCCCCCTAACACGGACCAAACAATCGGGACTCGACCTAACACGGACAAACCAATTGGGGGCTCCAACAAACACGGACCAAACAATCGGAACTCCACCATACACGGACCAACCAATCGTGACTCAATCTAACACGGACCAACCAATCGGGACCCGACCTAACATGGATCAACCAATCGGGATTAGACCTAACACGGACCAACCAATCGGGACTCGACCAAACACGGACCAACCAATTGGGACTCGCCCTAACACGGACCAACCAATCTGCACTCGACCTAACAAGGACCAACCAATCGGGACTCGATTTAACACGGCCCAACCAATTGGGACTCGAACTAACACGGACCAACCAATCGGGACTCGACCAAACACGGACCAACCAATCGGGACTCGACCTAACACGGACCAACCAATCTGGACTCGACCTAACAAGGACCAACCATTCGGGACTCGATTTAACACGGCCCAACCAATTGGGACTCGAACTAACACGGACCAACCAACCGGGACTCGACCAAACATGGACCAAACAATCGGGACTCCACCTTACACGGACTAACCAATCGGGACTCGACCTAACACGGACCAACCGATCGGGACCCGACCTAACATGGACCAACCAATCGGGACTCGACCTAACACGGACCAAACAATCGGGACTCGAACTAACACGAACCAACCAATCGGGACTCCACCTAACACGGACTAACCAATTGGGTCTCGACCTTACACGGTAACCTTTCGGTTAATATCAATAGTCAACTATACTGTAACCTTTCAGTTGATATCAATAGTCAAATATATTGTAACCTTACATTTAATAACAATAGTCAACTATACTATAACCTTTCAGTTAATATCAATAGTCAACTATAGTGTAACCTTAC